GGGAGCTATAAGGCTGTTCATTATCATCCTCAACAACAACAATCCAGCTCAACCACCACAACCCGCCAAGCTTTCTTGGCCGACCAAGCTTCCTCCTCCAATGGCATGTCCTCCACTCTTCTTCCACCACCACTGTCGCCGCTGCTGCCTCCCTTCTATGATACTACTACAGCGTTTCAGACTTGGACTTCCTCCAACCTCGTATTAAGTATCTGTGGCGGCGAAGCCCATTTCTGCATCTGTTCCGTCAAGAAGCCTGGCTTGTTCGCCGCCGTTTGTTATATTATTGATAAGCATCAGATCGAGGTTGTTTCCGCTCATGTCTCCTCAGATTTCCATCGCATGTTCATTATGATTCAAGCCCATGTAAGTGCGACCTCTGTTTTTCATTTTTTTCCTTTACAAGGTTTGAGTTAATTTTCGAGAGTTGTTATTTGAAATGAGTTCTTTTGACGAGAGCAGGTGAATGGAAGTTGGGACGAATTTGGGGCGGCGATGGTGGCAGAAGAAATGTTCAAGCAAGCTGCAGGGGAGATCAACTTTTGGTTGTCTTCTTGATCGGAGTGTCCGATGTTCTCTCTGCCATGAAAGCTGTTGCATGAAGTTTGAGAGAGCTTAGATCATCATCAACATGGATCAATATGGCTAATCAATCTATGTTGAAACTCTTCGCTTCTGGGCCTAGATAAAAATATATATATATATATATATGGAGTTGTTCATATTACCATGGTTCTATCTGCAAATATGGTCCACTCCATAAACCCTAGATATAGTTTTGTCCAATTTTGGGCCTAAAATAATGGACTTGTAAATGGTTCATAGTATAATGAAGCTTAAATTATGTTATTCACTCATGAAATTTCTCCACAATATAGTATAATCTCGAATTCCGACAAGTCGTCAGAAGTCACGCAATCTTAACCACCAACATTTGATCCGTCAATTGTTAGTTCATCAAATTGTCAGTTCTCCAACGCTCTCTTAATTTGTGATTGTGAGGATAGTTTTTCTAAATTGGAGCGTCTTGCAATATCAGTAAATTTCTTCTCCTCTTTTAAGTTGTTTGTTGTTCTTAAAATTTTATGATGTCCATATATTGAATATTTTTAAATACTCATTCTTTTCCTAAAATTTTTTAGGTAAAAGCAAGGGGCAACGGGTAAGATAACAACTTTCGTTGTAAAGGCTATGGAACGACATTTGCTTCTAGATAATTTTTTTCCACGTTGAATAATAGTTTCTATTAACTTAGAAAGCACGTTAATTTATCTAGTTAATGATTTTCGCGTTTAAGCACAGTTTGAATTTCAATTTTCGCCCATGAACTTTCGGGTAATATTTTTTATGTTTTCAGTTAGGTTTCATAAAATTTCAATATTATCTATGATTTGTTTTATTTCTTTTATACAAACTTTTTTGAAGTAGGAAGTTTACCGCTTTTGAGTTGTATGAATTGTATCAATAGACTTAGTCGTGTTTGTTTGAATACTAGATCATGTCACCATGTAGAAGAGGTGAGGTAATGAAGTTAGCCCGCTATGGGGACAGAGGAATAGGGGAGCACAAGGACCTCCTCAAGATAATTCGATAGGTTAGATGAAACCACTAGTAGCACCACTAGTAGCGCAACCAAAGCCCACAGTTACGACCCTAATGTTAAAGATTACGACTCTCACGTCTTCGATGAGTCTCCAGGAGATTCAAATATTTCAACTGATAAACAGCCTAGTAGAATAAAAGTTTGTGTGCGCATCGTTTATGTTGTAGGATGGCACTAATCTACTGAGTTGACAATCACCCCAAGGAGATACCAGGTTCGTGATTTCAGTTCAAGGTGACCTTCTGATCTAATGATTACCCTATAGTCGTCCGATACAGGAAACTCAAGTTCATGAACCTACAATAGAATGGGTAATCGGTGGACAAGTATGAAAGGAAGTTCAAGAGGCATTAGAGGTTGGTTATTGGTTATGACACTCTTCTAACCATCTTCTAACAACCCTTGAAACAAGACCTTTAGATCTAAATTATCAAAAAATCTAAATAACGGTTAAGAATCAACTCAAGTGAAAGTTACATTGATGATTAAGATCAAGAGTAACAAAAACTAATTTTTAAACTTGTGATTTGAATCACTCCACAGATAGCTTGATCAAAACTACTTGAATGACTAACATGCAAATCTAAATACAAGAAATGCAAAAGAACAAGCTCATGACTTAAGGAGCATAATATGCAACTTCCGTTTTAATATCGAAGATATTCATACTAAAACAACTAAAACAATTATTTATAGTTTTGAAAATAGACTTTAGAGTAACCTATAAGGTAGTAACACTCCTGCCTAACTTAAAATCGGAAAATAATCTCTAAAATAGAAAAATATAATGAGACTCTCTAAATCCAAACATGTATGGCAATATGAAGTATTTGTGAAATGATTTAAACACCTTACCTGGCGAAGCTTGTTGATATGAAGGCCAAAACCGCAATCATGAAAGTGCCTGAGGTGTTGTATCAGCCTTGGCACCAACTGATTTCGCCACAACCTTCAGAGCAATCATGGTGATGGGAGAAGACAAGGCCGAGAAACTTCAAATACTAATAAATCCAGGTACGACCTTGGGATAAAATTGCAGCTTTGATCAAATAGGGTCATATGACCAGTGATTACCCAGGGAGAGGTTATAGAGGAGATAATGGCCAACACCCAAGTTCAGATGGTGTTGCAATGTCAACAAAGACCAACCAGAAGGGGAAGGCTTATGTCTTCACTAGCAGGGAGATTAGTAACTGCAAGTCAACAGTGACAGGTACTCTATTCTTTTATCTATGCATCATTTGTAAGTCGAGCGGGATTAGAGTTAAAACTCTAAATTATACTATGTCTATAGGTACCCAAATGCTGGCGTTAGATAAGCATGGTAGATTTTGATATTATTCTAATAATTGATTGATTAGCCAAGAATTTTGCTAATGGATTGTTATTCTAAATGAACTAGCTTCAAAATTCACGACACCAGACTGTCCCAAAGGAAGCGTCAACATCGAAGGTTGAGAATGATGTCTACCATATTAGCACGGGGAGAATTTCCAAACGTAGGGGTACCTCCTACTTGAGCAGTAGATTTTTGTATTGAGCTCGAACTAGGTGCAAATTCTGCTTTGAAAGCTCTTATTGTAAACCACAGACGAAACTAAAAGAACTTAAAAGGGGAGATGCAAGATCTATGACAAAGGCTTTATCTATCTCTAGTGTTTCACCTAAAAGATGCGTCAATCTTATTTGTAAAGAAAAAAGATGGATTGATGTGGTTATGTATGACTATCGGGAGTTAAATAAGGTAACTATGAAGAAAAAATATTCTCTCCCTCCCATTGACTAATTGACTAATTGTCTAATTGTGTGAGATGTAACAATGATCTCTCATATTGAAATTCGGTTAGGCCACCATTAGATAAGGATAAGGATGTAGGAGGAAGACTACGGCATACAGATCAAGGTATGACCATTATAAGTTCTTGATCATGTCGTTTGGTCTAACGAACATGCATGCAGTATTCATGGAGTTAATAAATCAAATATCTAAGTAATGCCTCAATATATTTGTGATTGTGTTTACCGGCAACATCTCAATCTACTCCAAGATAGATGTAGAGCATGAAACACACACCTCAAGAGAGTTTTAACAATCTTTGAGGGAGAAGAAGTAATGCATCAAAGTTCTTAAAATTGAACTTTGGCCACAAAAAGTCTCTTTCTTATGGCAGGTAAGGTTAAAAGATGAGGTAACCATAGAAATTGTTACCAAGTGGACATGTTCCACTACAATTGACTTTTCTAAATTAGCCATGCCATTGACTCAATTGGCTTGGAACAGAACTCATTTGTGTGGATAGGCATGTAAGACAAGTTTCCAAGATCTCAAACACATACTAGTATTGGTACCATTACTCACGGTGCTACTCCAAGGAGGCGTCGTGGTCTATAGTGATACCTCTAATAAAGAATTGAGATGTATTAATAAAGAATGAGAAATTCATTGTGTATGTTTCTCACCAACTAAAGAATTATGAACATAATTATCCAACACATGATTTAGAAGAGTTGTTGCATAGATGCCTCAACTAACAGTTCAATCGGCTTTGAGACGACATATCATAGATTCCCTTCCCAACAGGGAGATCACATAGTCTTGCAAAAAGATTTTAAACCAGCTCACGCTAGGATCAATAGAGGGACATTTCAATCTGTGAATGGTGGGCTTCTCTATCAAGGATGCTTATGCATACTAGTAGGTGATGGGCTTAGGCACAATATATTAACAGAGGCCTACACTTCACCACTTCTCATGTATTCAGACAGTACTAAAATATACCAAAACTTGAAGATCATATAAGCGACCGCAATATGAAAAAGAACATTATAGAATTCATAAAAGAACATCATAGAATTCATGAGTAAATGGTTAAGTGTCCAAGAATGGAAGTGGGAGAACATAGAGATGAATTTTATCGTGGAACTACCAAGAACATGAAAAGTTATACGGTGATATGAGTGATCATCCATATACTCACCAAGTTACCGTTAATTCTTGCTTAGAAAGGCTACCTATACTATGAACAATTGAGCACAATTAAGCACAAATGTAAATAAAGGAGGTAGTCAGATTACACATGGTGCAAGTGTTGGTAGTGTCAGATCTGACCTTTGCTAGAACAAGGTGTGTGAATACAAATGATTAGGACCAGAGGGTATATTTATTAACACGAGGTTTACAAATTATATATGAAACAATTAGTAATAGGTGTAGAATACATAGCTCAATACAAATTGAATAACATATATAAAACCTAGTATATAGTTTGGTATTTAATATTATCACTTATATTATCTATGTACGGAAGAAAAAAAAAAACCTAGCTATTGTAGTTCAAATGAGCAAAACAACAAAAAGAAGTAAATAGTATATATGAGGTATATATGGTGTTATACATGAGTGTCAAAATGAAATATGAAATAATAATAATAAACAAGTTATGTAACATAACGTACATAGGGTGTTGTATGAACATGTATGAAAATTTCAGTTGGAAGACTCCTAATAATAATTTACACTTGAGATTCCTAACAGAGCTTCAAAACGAGAGTATTTGAAACAAACTAAAAAAGTGTGCATCTATCTCACTACCAAGGTGTCTTAGCTTCTGTATAACTACTACCTATATTCAATAACCTACACCCTATTAGCATTTCCATTTTTTCAACCTCTAATAAAAAGGAAAACAGGAGAAAAGAAAGGGTTAACATATATTTAACTCAATATTTGAACTAGGAAAAAGTTTAGTTTGTACCATATACAAACATATTTTCTCCTTGCTGCACATCTTCTGGTCAAGAATTATGGCCGCCATTTCCCTTATTTTCTTTACAATGCTCTTTCGAATCGAAAACAAAACCATGTCGTATTTGGCTAGCGAGCTTGAACAGACCATTTTTCACATGTTGGAATGAAATGTTGTCAGCTCCATCTCATAAAGTAACACAAATCTGAATTTAGAGGCATTAAGTTTTGAGGATGTTCTGAAGACAGTATGGCGTCTGGCTTTTATCTTTCTAATGATGGTCGTTTATATGGTACTACCTGCAGGATCAAATAGTAGCAAATTCGGTCTCTGATACACTTCGTACAACGCAATTATAAGTTTTCCAAAGAGAAAAAATCGAAGGCAATCCCGAGTTGTACCTGGTCATTGGCCGAAGAATCAGAAGAAGCTTTCTTTAATCTTTTTGCAGTAGGCATGCCACCAGACACCTCTCCTGGATGATTATCCACAAAGTTTTGATCGGAAACTTCTGCATAGAAGACAATGACAAAAGAACACCAAGTTAGCTTGACAACAGTTGAGTGAACATCCTCTAAAAACGAAGTTATATTTCAAATAATATTCAAAAGCGCCCTGGAGGGTATTCATAGCCTTGCAATAAAATAACCAAAGAACTAATTACATCCAAAATACTAAACTGGACTGATTATCTAACATCTCATCCTACATCACCCCAAAAAAACGTAGAAAATTCATAAGGTCCATAGAAATTATGAATCTTATTAAGTTGATATGTGTTAAATTCCAAGCAGGCAATGACGAGGAGACTTCTTTAACAGAGAGTAGGGCATCATGCACTTGAGATGGGACAGGAAGAATTCAACCTAGCCAAGGGATTGATCCTTGAATTAAACAAGCAGGATTGTGCCCTTAAGAAACATTTATTTGTTATTTCCTGCTTAATTATGAATGCATGAGTCATTCATCTTTGTCAAAGGTAAGCTTTAAATCTCCTTATGCTCAAAGATTCAAATAATTTTGTCGTTCATTTGACCCATAACAGGGAAACTATTCTTCAGCAGTTCTTCTACTCTACAGGAAAATTGAGACCCATTAGAGTGTCACCAATACTGCTCTTTTCTCTTCCTTCAACTCCAATATTGAATGTCGGAATACTTTTCATTCATGAAAGAAGGCTAATTCCTGATGCCTCATGGCTCCTCTAATTCAACTAAAGTGTTATTATCCCAAGAATTGTCTGCTTATTCATTCTGAAACAGCAACTGACTACTGTCCTAGAATTAGCACCATCACTCTGGCTTCATCTAGCAGTTCATCAATATCCAGAATGCAGTTCATCATAATAACATCTACTCGGTTTTATTCGTTTTTTCCACAAATACATTGTACAAAAATGCTCATCTAACTTTAAATAAAATACTTCCTACTTTTTCACTTATAGATATACATCAAGCAACTTCAAATAGAAAAGATATGCAATCAGTCATCCATGAATTATAAATTGTGAAATTGCATGAAGAATCGTGACCCTAAACCTTGTGTCCCTAGCATAAACACTAAAAATCATGCAATGGGAAGAAAGTATCACGACACTGTAGATCATGTCAAAACTGTCCCATTAATACCATTACTAAGAAGATAATGATGCGAAAACTATCCCATTAATATATTAGAATCTAAAGAATTTCCATTGCTAAGAAGATAACCATATTAAATCTATCCCATTAACATATTTGAATATAGAAAATTTCCAGTGCTAAGAAGATCACCATCTTAAAACTATCCCATTAATATAATAGAGAATTTTTATTGCTAAGAAGATAACAAAATACCCTAAGCTTGATGTACCAATTTGACAACTCACGTGCTGTAAGTCATATCATTAACTCCAGAAACCCTCTCATATTCTTCTTACCTCCAGAGGAAATACATTTGATGAACACAAAATTCAAACAAACACGTAATAAGATTGGAAAGAAATTTTGCAGGACTTCATGTGGTGCAAGCAAAGTGGCAAACTAGTGGGAACACCACGAAGAAATCGTCATATGGGTACATCAATCAAAAAACTAACTCAGAAAAATGAGTGCTCCTGAAGGGTGCCAAAGATGGTGAGTACTAGAACGATCATTGCAAAAACCTTCATCATTACAAAATATGATTTCAAGGAACAACAATAAAACATGAAGTATATAGTCAATCACTATCGCTATGTACATGCATAGTGCGGATATAGGTTACAGCTTTTGATGTATAAATTAGAAGGTAGAATCAATGATCGATGAGTTCAGGTGTGTGTCACTGCCAGAGGCTGGGAGGGTATATAATGTACTTAGACAAACGAAAATAGTATTTAAGAATTAACAAAACAGAGTATATAAAACATATGACATCAATGAAAATTACCTGTAATTATTGTATAAGACTCACGACAGCATGGAGGGATCTGCTGTGAACTTCTGGCAAATCGATAGGAGTTTTTCGTGTTTCTTAAGTGTCTCCTATCACTAAAACTTCCAGATTCTTCAATGAGATCAGGAGTCTCCAGAGTACACTGTTTTCCTGCAGAACGAAAACGATTTATCCAAACATCGTCTAAAATAGCAGGAGAATCGGCTACCCTTTCCAATAAAGGATCATTCCTCCCAATGTTAGCCTTCTGCCAGGAGGCATCTTGAAGGACCATCAACTAAAAAATATATATAACAAGAGCAAATCATTAAGGAAGTAGAGGAATGAGATAGGGGAACTCACTCCCACTCTTGCTGTGGATGTATTGCCTCACCTCTGAAGAAGATATATGAGGCATGCTCGGCCTGCAACGCATTTTCTGTTTTGAGGACAAAGCTTGCAAGCGTCTATATTGATGCAACTCTTGAACAAAAGATGCTTCTAAAGAACCAAGATATGATCTGTGTTTCTCATCTGTCCAATGTGTAACCTGTTCATAAATTTCCAATTAAGAACCCCATTTCCGCCTTTCCATTTAATTGTGAAAATTTGCACCTCAAAGAAAAATGTCCCTAAAGTTGGATCAAAAGTTTTTTTTAACTAAAATTAGGAGGACATAACTCTGATCGACAATTAATGAAACCATTCCCCATTTTTTTCACATGAAATTTTCAAATTGTTCCCTAATATAGAGTTCAATCCTTAGGCTTAGATATTCAAAATGAATCCTATATAAACAGAACGGCTAAAACTTGAGAAATTCAAAGAATCAAAGGTTCATTTCAAAAAAAAAAAAAATGAATCTATAAAAGACTTGACTCAAAATTCATCCATGATTTAATTTGAAGAAGCCCGAACACTAAAACTGATACTCCACAGAAAAAGAAAATTAGAGTAATAACAAAATCGAGCATTGCAAAAGAATTTCTCCTCCATGGCCATTGAAGCACAAAGGGAAAAACGGTGAACACAAGGCATCGAAACTGCAATAATATACAAGTACATACCACCCCTGTATTGCTGGTTTAAAATAAACCCAAATGGGAGGTACACCAAGGCCACTTCAGCATTTAAAATTTTTAAAGTAACAATAAAAATCTCTCATAATCAGACATATTAGTTTCCAGTACACAAAAAATAGGTCACACACCACACGATCTCCAAGTGCTACGTTGAAAGGGAAAACAAAGTACAATCAACACACAACTCGTTCATGCCGAGGAAAACCCACATCATACTTCCAAGAAACAGCAAAAAAGAAAAGGCAAAAGAGTCGGAAACTTACCGCATCCAGTTGCAGACAGCGATGAGAAGGAAAATCCTTGAAGCGATCAACAGTAAAGGAAGAAGAGTAGGATTGGGTGTTCAAACAAGTCAAGTCGCTGGCAGAGGACGGGGAGGGTGGTTGTCGATCTACAACGGGCGGCGACATGGACGACGGCGTATGAGGGAGATGTAGAAGAAGGTCGCCCATTATGAATGGATCAAAGATAGAAGAAAAGCAAATAAAGGGATGAAATCAAAGAAAAAGGAATCGTGAGAGAAGATTTAGGTCCGAAACCCTCTCGGGATTCAGGGTCGTGCAGAAACGGAGAGAGAGAGACGAAACCCAAATAAAAGGCTCCACATGGGCTACGCTTTTACACGTGTAAAAACCGTCAGCTTAATGCCACGTCATCCGGATATAAATATCTTCGCCCAATGTCAGCCAGATATTTTTATCCGCTCACGTTAAGATGTGCATTGGAGATAGAATTATAAATTAGAAACGACTCCCTCACCGCCGTTTCTCCACGCGCTAAACCGATATTTTTTCGCGCGTGAACTTCACATCATCTCACTTTCTTCTTCATTAAGAGAGATTAAAAAAAAAAAAAAAAAGTCAAAATGACTATTTAACCCTTTGAAAACTTGTTTTTATTAATTTTTGGAATATTTTTTTAAAATATCTTCCTTCTTTTTAAATTTATATTAATTATAAATTTGTTTCCTTTTCTATTACAAAAATTTTAATATTTTTTTAAATCATTTTTGTTTGGTTGGTCTCACTTAAAAAAAAAATAATTAATCTAATTTTACGTCTCATAAATCTTTCCATTTTTTAATTTTTGTATATAATTTATAGATTTATGTTCTTTTATTTTAATATTTCTTTTAACATAAAATTCATTTTATTGGAAGAATTTATTGGAATAAAATAAAAATTTTAGTTATATTTATTTTATTTTAGTTTGTTTATATAATTATGACGTCAGCATGACGTAGGGAAATTGTGAGACACGCTCCATGCGAGAGCGTAGTTTTGTATTTTTGGGGGCAGCTCATTCCGTCTCCCATTTTGATATCTTTAAGAATTTAAATTTTTATATTTTGTCACTTCCATTATTTTAATTTTAATAAGTTTAAAATTATTTTATTTTAAAATCCATATCCTAATTCTACTTTGTATTTGATTCATCTACATCTTTAACAAGATATCACTTTTTCTTTATAATTTAATTTTTTTTATCTTAACATTATCTTCATTTTTCTTTAAAATTTTATCATTTTCCGACTTATTCAATCTAGGTCAAAATAAGAAAAGAGAGACTGACTTCGTGAGGATTAGAAAGATTTCGATGATTCTAATTATATCGTTAAAGTCTTTTTCAAAATAGTTTTTCGAGCCAGCCTCGAATAACACTCCAGAAGATGCAAACACCTATTTACCTCGTCTAATGGTTGGGGCTTGGCTGAATAGGAGGAATCTGAACTTAGGGCTTGAGAAATGGAATAGATAGGGCTCCACAAGTTGAGAATCCACGGTCTCAATCAGTCCTCAAACAAAGGAGAGGGTAATCTAAGCTAAGGGGAAGATGATAATTAATCAAAGAGCACTGCCCGAGTCAAAGAGACATTCTTCCGATTTTCGAGGCGATCAGCGAAAAATCTTTATGATACCCAGAACTCCCATTAACAAAAAAATAAAATCTTTATGAAATCAGAAGTTTTATTCTTTCTCTAAAAATCAAACGTCTCATTATTCCATTCTTTTTAAATAATTAAATGATGTATATTTTACAAACTTTGACTAATGCTTTTATTAGTTATCTTCATCTTTTAAATCTTCAGTATCTCATTTCATCTCCCTTTTATGTTTAGTTTCAGTATTGATTTATGGCAGCGTGTTCATAAGTCGGTTTTCATTTGTTAGAAAGAATTCGTTACTATTTTACTCGAACAGCTTAAAAATAGAGAATTTGGGACTTCGTTATTGCACACTTTTTAGCTCTTTTTTACTCTCGTTCTTACCATTGCTTAAAAAAAATTTAGTTAAGTGGTTTTCACACCGCTACAAAATTGATGTCACATCCAAATCATATAACTCGAAGCTATGGCATTCTAATTTTACAACAAAAGCTATGGTTATAAAAAGCATATGACTAGAAAATAACATTAAAAGAATAATAATAAATACTATAATGGAACAAGATAAAGCAAATTTAGAATAAAGTATTAATAATGCATTATCATGACATTTTGTTCCAAATAAAATATCTAAATGCACTTTTTTGAGTTTGTTTCTTAAAAAAGTAGAACATAATATCATGGGAATGTCAATGCCTTTTTATCTTCTGAAATTTATTCTTAATAGGATTAAAAAATTTGCTTGGATTTACTTAGGTTGTTAATAATTAATTGTGTTATTTTGAGATACCACATTCGTTGGGACGAGAATGAAACATTCTTTATAAGGGTTAAAAACGTCGAAGGAAAGTCTAGAAGAAAAAGCCCTAAGAGAAATGCTCTTCAATGGGGATCCCCAGAATAATAAATAGCTTGCTTGTGGAACCAACCCTTTGTTTAGTCTTTGTTTGGAGTTTGTACAGCTTGGCCCTTTCCGTGGCGCACTTCCAATCTACTAGTCCTCCTCAAAGCTAATGGGATAGAATTCCTTGCTTCCGATCGGGTCTTGGGCTAGTATTCTTTCGTGGAATTCCATCTCTTGTTTGACGAGATCTTTGGGGTTGCTGAATTCTTTCCAATATTTGATGGCAGTTGGGCCGTTACAAATGATATTAGAGTGTGATGTGCAAGTGAGGAGGATGAGCTCCGAAGGGGGTGGATACGAGGCGGTGTGCCACCAAGGACACTGGGCTCCGAAGAGGGGTGGATTGAGGTGTCCCAGGACATTGGACCCCAAAGGGAGGTAGATTTTGAGATCCCACATCAATTGAAGAGAAAATGGAGCATTTTTTATTAGATTTGAGGTTTTAAAAAATATGGTTGACTTTCTTGAATCAGATTGCTGGTTTTTTTTAGGAGTTGATTGTGAGATCCCACTTCAATTAGAAAGAAAACGAGCATTTTTTTATTAGATTGTGATATCTCACAGCAAAACATTTTGGACAATTTCAAAACCGTTTTAGACATAATTAAGTAAAAGAAGGCAAGTATTTCAAAATGCCTGGAAACAATATTTCAAAATGCTTCAATCCTATTTAATCAAATGATGGTATCCAATGTATCATCAGAAAAGTGAAACTACAAATACCTTTCATCAAAAGGTTAGAGATTTCAATCCTCAGTCCCCAATGTTAATGAAATAGTAAAGAAAAACCGACAAATGCAAGCATTTTTAAGTAAGAAAATGGCTCACAACTCCCAAGTAGTTTCACCTAAAGGCCATAACAGTGAAGTATGGATTTGCCATGTAGCCATCATCATAGGTTAATGAGGGCTATGCGTTCTACTACAGTAAGAAACTTAACAGTGAAGAAGTATATTCTTATATACAGCTCAAGAACTAGTAGCCTAGTGTAAACCTTTACGACAAAATATCTGACCAGCTCGAACAATCAAGGGGGTCAAACCTTGCAAAAGATGTCCCATTTGATTTCCATGCATCCATCCTACTGCTTGAGGACCCTTTCGATGGCAGCAATATAGAAATCTTTTGGCATGGTGCCAATGACACTTTCACACTTCTCCCCATTCTTGAACAACATGACCACAGGAACAGCCTTAATTTCATAGTCTTCGGCTATTTGCAAATCTTTGTCAGTATTGAGTACAAAGCATTTGAGCTTCCCCTCATAATCAGCAGCTAGCTCATCGATGACTCGATGCACCATTCTACATGGTCCACACCAACTAGCATAAAATTCAACTAGGACAGGGATTCCACTCTCTAGAATCATTTTGTTCCATGACTCTTTAGTAACCACCTCAGCTGTGTATGCCAATATAAGATTATTCAGAGAGGCATTCTTGAGATGGAAATCCAAATAGTTACACCAATTTTATCAATTAAAAACTGGACAAAAATGAGCATCAAAAGTATTAATACTAAAGTTCTTGCAAGAGAGTAACTACTAATCATACCATGTGTGAACACCCTTAATCAACTAGCAATTTACATAGTATACAGTAAGGTTCGACCATTACTAGAGACCAATGGATTACAAAGAAAAGTTTATAGGATAAAGAAGCCCTTGAACAAGGGAGAAGGGATGACTTTCAATGATGCAAAAACATAAGACCATCATCATAGTATATTCATACAAGATACTGATTCCACAGGTAAAAATTTAAAAAAACAAAAAAATAACCCCAGTATACTGCATACTTACTTGAAACAAGAAAATAGATGAAGTAGTAATATCACCAGATAACATCATTCAGAAACAAATGTCAAATTGGGTAAGTCTATGTGTAATGATGGGGAACATACAACAAGACCTTATATTTATATATATTCTTTAAAAGTAAGAAACACAATGAATGAAGACTGAGCAAAAATAATCATACTACCGTTTCATCAAGTTGTAGTCCAGAGAATCAGAAAAGACATTCTAACTTCGTCAGAACAAAGAACAAAGATTTACTCTCTATACTTGGAATGTTAAGTGTCTTCAGTAACTATGAAAAAGAAGAACAAACTCAGAGGAAAAAAAGTTCTAAACATTGCATTACAAACTAGTAATTCAAGCTGATAACAGGAGTGATCATGCATGACAAGCTCAAAAAAATCATATGCAAGTATAGTTTACTAAGCAGGTACAAACAAACATTAACTTGTATCTAAGTGCAGTTCGTTCTATGTCAAAACAAGTAAGGTTTCCACAAGTAAATGGATATCAGATAGTTATGAAACATATTCATCCATGCGCTGTTTCTATTCAAATCATCAAGCAGGGCATGATTCAAAACCCTAATAATGCATTAGTTACTCCCTTCCTTTCACGTAGTTATCAAAAAAAGTTACCATGAAGTAGCAATTTCGGAATTGCTCTCGTTAAAAGCATCATAATATACAAAGTAAAAAAAAAAAAAAAAAAAAAAAAAAAAAAAAAAAAAAAAAAAAAAAAAAAAAAAAAAAAAAAAAAAAAAAAAAAAAAAAAAAAAAAAA